GTGGCGGCAGCGGGGCGGCTGGCGGCGGCTGCGCTCTCGGCGGCCGGCCGGGTGGTCCGTCAGTCAGCTACGCGGGCGCAAAGCGAGCGCTGCGAGGCTGCGGCCGGCGCTCGGGGACAACGCCGCTTTATCGGGTCGGAAACAGCCGCTCCGCGCCGCTTCCGCTGACGCAGCGCCGGCCTGCGCCTCATGACTATGCAGCGGCCGTGGGGGCGGGGCCTGTGCCGCGCACCCCCATTGGTCGCGACCGCCACCCGCCCGCGCGGCCCCGCCCCCTCCCCGCGAGGCCCCGCCCCTCCAGTAGCTCCGCCTCGGGCCCGCCCCGCCTCCCAGTGCGCCCCCCTCCGCCCGCCGCGAGTCACTGGGGCATCCGCCCCTCACTGGCCCCGAAAACATTCAGGTCCCTACAGGTCCCTACGCCCCCAGCCCCATACCCCCGATTTTTCCACCCCTGTACCACCACCTCTTCACACCCCTGGGCAGATACCCTCCTCACCCCTCTGCCTAAGCCCACAGGGCAGCCCTAAGCCCATACGGAGGCCTGGTGGGTCCCATCTCTAGGGCTGCATCCTCCTTTGCCCCAAACCTGCGCTTAATTACTTCCCCTCGCCCCCACCCCAACCGGGCAAGCCTCCTGCTGTCCCCTCCCCACTCCTTGTATCCCTCACAACGTGCTCCATGAACCCCCCCCCCCCCCTTCTGCAAGTGTCCTGTAGATCTGAGCGGGATTCAGGGCCAGAGCCTCCTGGAGACCGGCCCAGGTACCCTGCAGGGGCCCCAATCCGTGTCTCCCCACATGCAGAATGGCCAGAATCCCTAAGAGGGGCCAGCTGAAGAACCCATCAGGACAAGGTCAGGGAAGGCAGCAGGACAAATAGATGGAACAGGGAGCAAGGTCAGGGTAGGTAAAGGCCTAGTTACATCTCAGGCCTAAGCCATCGCCAGAGTTTAAGAGTCTTTGGATACATTTCTTCAACTTTCAGAGCCTTGGCATCTTGATCTGTCGAGACCATAAGATCCATTTCAAGGGGTTTGGAGGGAATTTAGAAATAGAGTGGCTATGAGCCTCTAGAACAGCTAAACTAGGAAAAGCTGACAATACCAAGTGTTGGCAGGGAAGTGGAGCAACTGGAACTCACACAGGGCCAATGGGAACTTGAGAGATACAGCCTGCTTACAAGGCCCGGGTTTTACTCCCAGAGACACATCTGACTTCATACTTCTGTCTATAGCGGCACTGCTTGTAGTACCCCAAGCTGGAAACTACCCAAATACTCATTAGCCATTGAAGAAACACATAAAATGTGATAGATTCAGGGAGTGGAAGGATGGCAATAACAGTAATTTACAACTACGCATAACATGTATGACTTATCAATAATGTTCAGCAAAAAAAAAAAAGATACTGAAAACTATAAGTTCCCATGTACATAAAAGTAAAAGATATTGTATGGCTGGTGCTGGCAGTCAAGACAGTGGTTAACCTCAGGGGAGGGTGCTAGGACCAGGATGTGGGTGTGGAGGATGTGTCTGGGAGCCGGCGGTACTGTTTCCTGGTCTGGGTGCTAGTGACACAGTGTGCTCAGTTTGTGACAAGTTCTCCAATTCTGCAGTCAAGACGTGTGTGTCAGCAAGTTGTGGTGGTGCACACCTGTGATCCCAGTACTCTGGGAAGCTGAGGCATGAGGATTACAAGTTCAAGCCCAGCCCAGGCAACTTAGCGAATTAGCTAGACCATATCTCAAATAAAACAAATAAAAGGCATGGGAACATATGTAGCTCAGTGTGAAGGCTCAGATATGATCCCCAGTACCACATACAAAGAAAAGACCCCGGTGCCCTTCCCTGTGTATGCAACACCCAGACAGAGGGGTAGAACACCAGTGGCGTGCATACAGAGCTCAGAGTAGTACGTGACAGTTGGGAATGGCATCACTGAGTACCTGCCTCTCGTGTGGTTTTTTAACTCCTATGATCAAATGATAGAAGCAGAGGCAGTTCCAACCATGCCGCTTGTCACCTGTGTGACCGAGGCACCTTCCTGAGCCTCTCTGAGTCCTCTTCTGGACCGGAAGCTTTCTAATAATACCAGTTCACAGTTGCCACCATGATTAGATGAAAGATTAATAATGTATCCTTTTAAAAAAGAGTACAGGAAGGAGCACCGCGTAAGAATGTAGGAACTGTTTAATTATTCATGAGCTGCTGGTATTTAGTGAATCTTTTCCAGTTTCGTTCATCAGCAAGCAATGAGTGAGTGTGTCTACCATGTCCACCTGCCATGCGGGACTCTGGCGTTAGAGCTGGGAGCATATCTCTCCCTCTCTTTTAGGATGCCATTGTGGAGAAGGAGATGCATGTGGACAGAGAATGGCTCTGGAGCTGTGGAGCCTGGTGCAGGATCTGACTCAGAGACACTCCATAAACCTTTCTCAAAGAATATATGAATGCGGCGTGAAAGTGTAAGTATACATTTTCTTACTGATGGAAATTGGAAAGTAGTTTTTTAAATGTGGAAATGTCCAATTTATTTACTTCTGTGACCTGGAGTTAGGCACAGAGATCAGATGGGGTGAGGTTAAGGAGAAGCATGCCTTGGCTATACACATGTGTTGGTACTGTCTCAGTGCCTGTGCATGCGTGTGTAAGTGTGTGTGCAAGAGGACCCAAGCAGGGCCACCCTGCCAGCACTCTGCCCCAGCCTGGTCAGCCAAGACCTCATCTCAACCGCAGCTGCCAAGAATGTTTGGCCTGTGGCTCCACAGTTCTGTTGCCCATGGTGGCCTGGGAATGAGGGCCTCAGAACCCCCATAGGACTTTGCCTCACTCTTCCTTGAATGGCTAGCCTTAGTCCATGAGGACATAGCTTGGTATGGGGCAGCCCGCTACCTGAGACCAGAAACCTGAGTCTGGCTTGGCTCCAGACCAGGGTGTGTCCAGGCCCTTACCATCCTGGGGCACCTGTAATTGGTCCAGGTTCTGTCCTCAGATGAGGTCCATGCTTGGCTTATCGTTCTGCTCTCATAACAGTTTTTAACAAGGGGCCCATGAACTACAGAGCATGGGAGGAGCCTGGGGCATGAGGTCGGCTCCATGGCTGTTTGTGCCTGTGACCTTGTCTCCTCTCAACTCTGCTGTGGACACCTAGGGAAGCCTGTGTTCCACTCATCCCTGGCCCTGTGTGTATACGTCTTTTCCTGAGACAGGTGTCAGATGAGGAAGCAGGGATGCAAGAGGTTGTTACTGAACAGCTGGCAGTTGATAGAGCCGGGATATCTACGTGGGGCATATCTGTTTAGGAGCTGGGTGAATAGGATAACAAAGGAGGGAAAGAAGGATGTGCTGGGCGTCATTCCTTTCCTATCCATCTCTGTGCCTTATACATGAAAAGCCCTTTCAGCAGGGATGCTCTGCACTCCATGCCCCACCAAGGTATGGCAGCCCACCCTGAGCAGGGTGGCAGTCTTATGTGGATAGCACTTGGTTCAGTGTAAGAAGTGGGACTCCCATCTGTGAATCTCATGGCGAACCCATGGGCCGTGGCAGAGAGGTAGAAGGCATTCTGCAGGACACACAGTGTGCAGGGGAGGACAGGGAACACTCACATTTACCCAGCTCCATCAAACTTTTGCACCAAGAGTATTAATCCCATTTCACAGAGAACCTATGACTAGGAGGAGCAATGTGTCTTGCAGGAACTGAGTGCTGAAGGGGTCAAGAAGGTGGCCCCAAGGGTAAAGGCTGGAGGCTTGTGAGAGGTACAGGTGCCTGGAAAGCCCTTGGGGCCAGGTGTTCTACATTCCTGGAAGGCCTGGAAGGTCTCCCTCCTTCCTGCCCTCAACCCTGTCACACTAGGTGGCTGTCTGTGTCACTCCTCTGAACCTGCCTCTGGACCTTTGCACCTTCCATTTTTTCTTCTGGAAGTGTCCTTGCCCCTCTCCTGATGTGGAAATGTCTGCTTATCAGACATTTATCAGGACTTCCCAGTTCCCGGAGAGGGAACAATGTGTGTAAAGTAAATTGAAGCCCTATGTGAACCACGATGGCCCAGATTTTATTGTGATAAACAGCAGTGTACCTGATCATTAACTGAGGCCCCCTCCGTACCTTGCCAGATTCCATTAGAGAATAGAGGTGAGAAGTCCTCTCCAGACAGGTGGCCCTGAAGAAGGAGCAAAGAGAAGGTACAAGCTGAGACAGTGTCCCAACTGGACAGTCCCTTGGTGGGCGCCTCCTCTGCTGATTTACAAGTCTCTTTTTTTTAAATCAACAAGCATTTTTTTTTTTTTTAAAAAAAGCTCTTTTGTAAAACCCCTTATGCCAATTAGCATGCCTACTTATTGTTAGGGGATTCTGAACAGTGGTTTGAGCCAAGCCTTTTCCTGACTCTCAGGGCTGATGTTTTAGCTGTGTCTGTCATGCACTTCCAGGTCCCTCCCTGTTCCTGCCCCTCACCCTCAAGGAGCTGTGCTTCAGTGTGGCAGGGAAAGCAGAGACCCCAGAGCTCTTCCCCTTAAGCACCTAGTTGCTACGAGCTCCTCTGCAAAATGGAGTGGTTGAGCACTCCCCAGAGAGTGGGGCCAGACCCTACAGTCCCAGATATCCAGAGAGCCAGGCATACTACTATCCACAATGGGGCCTGAGACCCTGCAGGGCACGCATCTGTCCACAAATCCGTATCAGGACGCCAGGTGATTGAGGTGACTCCAGAGCCAAGAGCTTCTAGATTAGATGGCTTCTTAGGCTCATATAGTCTCTCAATGCCATGTGGCCTCTTGAGGGGTCATATGGCTTCCCATGATCATGGGGCTTGAGGATCATATACTACCTTGAGTCATATAGCAGCCTAGGGTCATACAGTTGCCAGGAGTCACACAACTACCTGGTCACAGCTTCCCAGGTCAAGTGGACACCTGGGTCATGAGCTCCCTGTGGAGACGTGTCTCGTTGGACATTAAGGCTCCTTCCAGGCCACTCCCCTGCCTCTGCGTGCTGTATGATCCCCAGCCCTGCCTGAGCCTGGGTCTCCTGATCTGTTACATAGGAAGCTGCTGTTTCTGCAGCACAAGGCTGTGGTGAGGAGTCCATGAAGAGGGGCCCACCAGGCCTCAGGGGCCACTCATGCCAGGAAGGGGCAGTCATCCTAGGAGGAGTGGTGCTATCAGAAGCTACCTCAGGAGAAGAAGCTGAGGCAGGCTGTCCCTGGAGGGCAAGGTCCAGTGCCGGAGACACAAGGTTCATCAGGGTAAGGAGGGGATGGGTGTGGGGCTGGAGACAGGTGTGTCCCCGGGGAGATGAGCTGGTGGCAATTTCCAGTTCTGGGGGAGGGTGCATGTTAGCTGTGCTATGCCTTTCTTAATAATCATCTTATATCCCACAAATGAACACTTATGATAAATGATAACAGAGTGGACACCGGCTTCATCCAAGTGTTTTTTTTTTGTTTTTGTTTTTGTTTTTTTGGTACCGGGGATTGAACTCAGGACTTTGCACTTGCCAGACAAGCACTGTGCCGCTAAGCTACATCCTTGGCCCTTCATCCAGGTTTGAGGGGGCTCAGAGTTTGGTTTCTTTCCTGAGGGTAAGGGACCCTTGATGGGTCATTAAGGAGCCAGATGGGCTGTGTGGGCGTGTGGGTATGTGTGTGGGAGTGAGAAATAGGAAGGAGGAGCCCAGGGAGGGGGTCACTTTCCTGTGCTACTGAGTAGGTAAGGTACTGGCTGGGGCTGACAGGACAGCTGTGGACTGTGGTGCAGTCTGCACACTGCACAAGGATGCTGCTGTGGGCTGGGATCCCCAAAGACCACCTGGATGCCTTTTCCTTTCCCCTGTTCCTCCCGCTCTACCCTCCTTGCCTACTTAGCACTTTGGATAGAGGGGCTGCCTTCCCTCCCACTTTGTCTCAGAGTGTGGGCTCCTTAGAACAGGATGATGCACCCCAAGGCACATGGCAGGTGGGATTCATGTCACAGGAATGAAATTACCTGGGAGCGGTGAAGCCCCGCTGAGGGCCCCTAAATCCTTAAAGCAGTCAGGCGTACACAGCGCACAGGTGCACACGTCCATACATGCACATGTGAGGAACACTGACCTCAGTCCCCTTCCTGGCCCAGGTCCGAAGTAACAGGCCTCTCCCTGTCCACTGCCCTGTGACCTGCAGGAGCCCCAGGGGTGAACATTCTGTACCTTGGGAGGAGGGGTTCATGCTGCCAAAAGTCTTTTAAAAGAGAATTTGGGGTGAGGCTGTAGCTAGTGATACAGCACTTGCCTAGCCTGTGCTAAGGCCCTGGGTTCAATCCCTAGCATCACAAAACATAAAAAGAAAATAATGATGATAAAATAAAAGAGGACTCAGGAGACCTAGACTGGGAAGCTGGGGTGTAGAGCAGCCTGGGTTCAAGTCCCAGTTTCCCCTCTTGTGGTACCCATGGCAGGCCAGCGTCTCAGGCATGCAACCCAGGCAGTGTCACAAAACTCTTCACAAAGAAAAGCCACAGACTTCATTGAAGGCTCTGTGGTTGCGACTTAGCAATTGCTACCAATTTGTGGACAAGGAGCTCCAATTTTCCATTTTGCACCAGGCCTGAAGGTCAGGAGGCCAGTCCTGGCTGGAAGAAGTCTGTAAAATGGGTCAGTGCTGATGCTTGTCCACCTCCTCCTGTCTATGCCCTGTGTATTAGACAGCTCTATGAGGTCCTGCCTCATACTTACAGCAGCAAGCTGTAAGCCAGGTGCAGTAAGCAGTGAGCCAGGTGCAGTTAGCATCCTCATCTGCCTGAAGGGGAGGCACAGAGAGGTGAGGTGGCAGGCCTGAGGTCATGCAGTGGGCAAGTGGCTCATCTGGGACTTGAATCTAGGCTGGATGGCTCTGAGTCCTTGTGCCCCCTTGCCCAAGGACACGGGGCTTGTGGGGAGGAGCTGTACTCCTCACCTCCACTGCACTGGTCCAGGTGGGGGGTCAGGGCCACTGTAATCCAGCCAGCACTGGAACCACAGCCCTGAATCAGGCGACCAGGGTGACCTGGAGAGAGTTGGGAGTCAGCCGCCCACAGCAGGTGGCAGGGCAGAACCTCTGGCACAGTGCTTGGAATGAAGGTTAAGGGCAGGTGATGTGTAGGGCCACCCTACCTGCTAGCATCAATAGGGAAGGGCAGGTCCCCAGGGTGCTTCTCCCTCCCAGACGTCCTGCCAACCCAGTGTCCTCAGCCAGGTATCCATTCCCAAACTCTCACTCTGGTCCAGCTTGGGGGCAGCCTCCTCAGCCTTCCCCCCTGGCTCTCCCTTCTCCTGCCTTTGTTCACACCATTCCTCCTCCTGTAATGTCTTCCTTTTCCTTAAGTCAGCTTGACCCCTGTGTACTTCCTTCAAGAAGCCCTCCTCAACCACCCCAGCTGATGGAAATTCCTGCCTCCCCCAACATGCAGTAACCGTAAAGCTGGACTTGGCTTTGGGGAAGTCCCAAACCATCATTTGAAGAATGATCTACATCTCACAAGATGTTTTTCCTATCCACTGTCTCCATGGAGCCTCATGGCATCCATCCTTGTGGGGTCGCATGTTCTCATCCTCACTTCTGGGACCCAAGAGGCAAGGGAAGGACCAAGCTTTCCATGGCATCATTGCACTAAGAGCTAGTAGTGACTGAGACTGCCCTGGATGCCAAGGGCCGGTTCATTCATTCATTCATTCATTCATTCAAAAATGTGCATAGACTGAGTGCACACTCTGCTCTAGGCTGTCCCAGAAGCTGGGGAAGTAGCAACAGCACAAACAGACCGGCAGCCTCCCTTCTGGAAACCGTGGGACACAGAGAATGGATGGGGCAACCGCCACAGTCAGAGGGTGGGGCCAGTGCAAGAAGGGAGATGGGATGGTGAGCCTCTCTATTGAGGGGACTTTGAGGAGGGGACTGCTGCCCTCCCACTCCTTCATCTCTACTTGTGGATGTATCCGGCTGTCATTGCAGGTTCATTCTTCGAGGAGCACAGGTTGTCCTGTGCTGGGTCCTGAGCAGGGAACAGACAAAATCCTCAGCCTTCAAGTGGGGCAGCAGCAATACAAGAATAACAGAGGCCAGAGGCTGTAAAGGAGAGAAGACCAGGGAGGGAATGGACTGTACAAGTCTTTGGGGTGTGGGGGATTCTGAGCAGAGGGGCGACACAAGGGACTTGATGTTTTAAAAGGTCCCTCAGGCTGCAACTGGAGAGCACCTGGAGGGCAGAAGGCACAGGGTACTTCCTGACAGTGCAAGGGGCTGATGGCTGGGGGCAGTGGAGAAAGCAGACTGCATCACACTGAGGCCTCAGGGCAGACTCACTGATGGGCTGAGCGTGAGTGTGGCCATGAAAGCCGGTGTAAGTCTCCTCGAGTCTTGGTTTTCCCGCCTGTGAAGTGGGGTGCTAGCCTAGCTACTCAACTCTGGGGAGAACCAACCAGGGAAAGTGTCAGAGGAGCCACTCTCCCATCATGCATTGCAGACATGGGGGCTCCATCTTTGCTCTGGGCCGAGGGGGACACAGTGATCCACAGGTGCATAACAAATGGTGACTTCTCTTTTTGTTAAATGAAAAATGAGGTGGGAAGTTGGGCACAGGCCTGTAATCTCAGTCTGGGATTATGCTGGGAAACTAAGGCAGGAGGCTCAAAAGTTCAAGCCCAGCCTGAGCAATATTAGTGACTTAATGATATCCTGTCTCAAAATAAAAAATGAAAAAGGTCTAGGCATGTAGTTCAGTGTGAAGGCTTTGAGTTCAATCCCCAGTAGTAGAGAGAGAGAGAAAAGTAGACAATGAGGAGCCCCAAGGTGGCATGGCCACAGTGATCAGGTGGGGCAGTTGCCCTGGATCAGGCAGTGCCCAGACAGCCTGGTGTTGTCTGATCTTGAGGCCAGAGAGCCCAAGAGAAGATGCCAAGGCAACAGAAGTCCAACTGCAGAGAGGGCTGACCTCATCCAGAGGCAGAGGTGTCAGGAGGACAACTTTCAATGGTGTCCTCAAAGCAAATCCAAATCTAAGGAGTCCTGAGTATTTGGGCCATATTCCCAGGGTCATCCCTTCCTTAGCATGCTGGAGGTGGGGAAGGCTGAGCAGTGGTGGCCTGGGCCAGCTGGGAAATGTAGAGGCTGCCAAGGCCTGTGGGTGGGACAGGGCTCAACCCTCCTTAATCTGCAGTCTGGGAAGCCACGCCCTTGGCCCACCTTTGGCGTGGGCAGAGAGGGGATGGGGTGGGTCTGACTTGACAGCCTTTTTCCAGGTTGTGTGGTAAAGGGGGCAGTCAGACAGCAAAAGGCTCATGGCTCAGTAAATAGGGTCAGGCTTAGGCAGGGAGCAAACAGGCTCAGGACTCAGGGTTTATGAGAACACAGTACAACTCTGGCTAGAGGCTCATCTGTTGAAGGCCAGGCCTCAAGAGAAAGATGAAATAACCAGGCCTACATGCTTCCCCAAGGGATAAGATAAGTGGTATCACCTGGTCCAATAAAGTCTAGCTAGATATCGGCCACCCAGGTGGGTGACCAAGACCTCCTAACCCATCCCCTCCTAAAAAGGTCCTTGTTCTTTCCATGTACACTTGCTACGTGACCTTCTTCCTCATTAGATCAATATTACCTGAATGGCTGTACTTGTAATATAATTTGTTAATCATAGTTTTCACCCACATTATACTCACCTTGTGATTTTGCTCTATAAAACTTCCTTTGAGAAGTGGGCTCGTTGGCAGCCCACTTTTGAGTCCCCTCCTGTCTCTCAGAAGCTATCTCTCTCAATAAAATTCTCCTGCTCATAACCTCTGTTGTTCCTTAAAATTCATTCTTTGATTTTAGAGAACACAAAGTTGGCATATCTGATACCTAGCAGGTTAAGAGTTGTATTTATTCCCCCTTTATCAATAGCTCAGTAAAGAGGGTCAGGCTCAGCCAGGGAGCAAACGACATCAGGACTCGGGGTTTAAGGCATTGTTAGGGTCAGACATTAATGTCCAACCAAGGCCAAGTTCCAGAATATGAATAAGAGTCGGGATTAGTCTGTGATAAAGGCAAGGTTCAGAGGGTGTCACCTTGTGAGCAGGGCCAGGGCTCAGTGTGTGACCAGGATGAGGGCTCAGTCTGTGACTAAGTGCGGGGCTCAGTGTCTGCCCAGACGCTGAACGCCCAGTTGAAGTTTGTGATCAGGGTTAGGGTTCAGCCTGTGATTATGACCCGGATTGGGGCTCAGTCTGTGACCAAGATCAGGACTCAGTCTGTGACTGACAATAGGAACTCAGCATGAGGCTGATGTGACAGTTACAACTCTAATGTGGCCTCTGGGTGGACTGGCCTCTCTTCTCTGAATAAGTCAAACCCATTCATCTTTCTCTTTGATTCCAGAGTCATCTGCTCTCTGCCAGGCACTGTCCTTGATGCTGAAGACTCAAGGCCGCTTCACTACAGCCCAGTCCTAAGCATCCGCCCATCTCCCAGCAGCCCAGCCAGGTCTCCACTGTTGACCACGACAAGGTCAACAACAAGGTGTCCACCTAGCCTCATGGGCGCAGGAGGCCTTGCTCTCCCCAAGCTCAAGGTGGCTGCAGTCAGTTCCCACCAGGTGACAGTGATTGCCTTAGCAGCTGGTGGGCGCTCCCTGCCCCGGAGGCCGCCCACCTTGGGTGGGACACAAGGCAGCAGACAATGGGAAGGAATGAGAATTCGTGAGGCCAGCAAGGGTGGCTGGTGAGAAGGGGGTGGAGGGCGTGGGGGCTGGGTGGAGGCCAGGGATGCAAAGCAGGTGAGGGTGGGGAGTGCCTGGAAGGGAACAGACCAACAAGGGGCATGTGGAGCACTGTGTGGGGCTGGGTTTCCAGCTGGAACTGTCCTCAAGTCCCTGCTTGAAGGTTTTGCCTTGGAGACTTCACCGCCATCACCCTGTGCAAGGGTGCAGGCTCACGGACTGGACAGGTGGGACCCTGGAGGATGAGCTTGGCCTGCTGGCCTGGGCCTCCCAGCTCCCCCAGACCTTGGCCTTGGCATCCGGCCTGGCCCTCTCTAGGACCCTTCACAGAGCCTCCAGAATCATCTTACCGAAACACGGTGGACCAGGTTGTGCCTCCGTCCGGCACCCTTCTGGACCCTCTCCTGCATCCCAGGAGGTGTTAGAACCATCAAGAATGAAGCCTGGTGCAGCCCAGCATGGTGGAATATGTCAGTAATACCAGCTACTTGGGAGACTGAGGCAGGAAGACGGCAAGTTTGAGGCCAACCTGGGTAACTTAACAGCACTGACTGAGGCAAGACGCTGGACCACAGTGAGGAGAGGGCAGAGCACTGGCCCCTCTGTCCATTGCCCCGGGCTGTCCTCAAGGCCAGGAATAAGGTCACCCATGTCCTGCAGGGAATCGGGTACAGGGAATGGGGTGCAAGGCCCACCCAGTTCTTGCTTGACCTGCCGGGTTGGTTTGGCCCTGGTGTCACCCCACACCTGGGAGCCCGCCAGCCACACCCTCTCCACATGTTCTCTCTGAGTAGGGACTTTGCTGGACTGTGCCATGCCTCTGTCAGGGGGTACAGGCCCTTGGGTGCCTGTGAGAGAGAACAGAGGTTTCAAGGAGCTAAGTCTGACTCTCTTGGCCTCTGGGGAAAGCCTTAAGCCTGCCAGCAAGGAAAGGAGTTCAGATGTGCAGCCATGGCCGGGCCAGGCAGGTCCCATGTAGGCAGGGCCTCAGTTTCCCTGTCTGCAGTACTAGGCAATGCAAACCCCACACAGAAGCTCAGTTCCTAGATTCTGCTCTGAATGCTGGCCTGGCGCCTGACACACCTGTGTTCTCTGGAACAGGAGAGCTGGCCACATGGGTACATGAGTTCAGGCCCACTACTAGGCTGCACCTAGCCACCCCTGGCCCAGTGTGGGATGGAACCAGAGGGCAGGAGGTGCAGTCAGATGCAGATGTTTGAGACCCCTCTACCTTGTGTGAGCTGTGATGGCAGACCACCTGCTTCCTCTCTCTGTGCTTCAGTTTCCCCATGTATATGCCCCATGGTGTTGACACAGATAGTTGGGAGCATTCAGTTCTCTGATGCCAATGAGAGAGACTTGAAGCTCATGAAGTAAGGGATACCCAGGATTGAGATGGGCACCCCCATCTCATGAGCACCCCCCACCACCCTCAGACCCGCAGGTGAACACACTCATACACATACACCCACAAGTGTGTACACACCTGCAGGCAGACACTGGCAGCTGTCACACATGCTCACATCCATATTCCCCAGGCCCCAGGCTGCTCTGAAAGCTGGCTCAGGGGTCTTCCCATTCTTGGCTCTGCTCCCCTTTTCTTGGATGCCTGCTTCCATTGTTCATGTCTTCCTTAGGGCATTAGCCCTGGCCCCAGGGGTGTCACAGGAGCTGGTGGGGTGCTGGCCAAGGTTCCTCCTCCCGGGCTCCACATCATCTCCTATTCACACACCCCAGGTACTCCACAGAATACCTGCTGCCAGGCCCCGTTCTCTTAACCCGAGACCCTATGACCCCAGGAAACTTGTCCGACTCCAGAGCTGGAGACAATGCTGAGGTCACCTGAATAAAGTCTCTGCTTGTCCTTCAGGGCCTTATTCATAGACACTGGCCCTCAGGACTCTGCCAATAGTGAAGAGAGGAGCCCTGGGACCTACACCTGGGCTGGGGCCTTCACCTGGTTGAGCCTCAATTTTCTCATGCATAAGATGAGATGCCATCTGACCCTGGGACCTACAGAAAGGAATGCTGAAGTTGTTGACATGGAATACCCTGATGAGAGGAAGCAGTGATAGAGATAGAAAGGATAGGACACAAAGTCTTCATCCCCAAGGCCACAGCACTGATGAGATCTGGAAGCTTCTCGGGCCCCGTGAAGCTGATTGAAAGCCTGAATATTCTGCCTAGGTCACCCAGCATGCTGCCCTTGGTGACCACAGCTCAGGGTCCACTCTGAGCTCCTTGGGGCTGGCAGGGGCTCCGTGTCATCACACAGAAGGCCTCACAGCTGACTTCAGAGGAGCAAAGGCCAAAACAGGAAGGCACACCCAACCCTGACAAGAGCCCAGGGCCCTATGACTGCTGCTGTTGGGTGCCTTCCTGGGGATGCCCCACAATGCCTGCCACACCTGGCTTTGTCTCACATGGCACCTTGTGGAACCCTCAGTGACTCCACTGACCCTACAATGCTCTAGGAGAGGAGCAAGGACAGAGTTCTGCCATTCTGTAAACCAGGTAGCTGAGGCTCCAGGAGCGAAGGGATGCATGGTATCTCACCTCAGTTTACTTCAGTGGTTCTTGGCTACTGATAGAGTTACTTGTGTTCCCTGCCTCAGTTTCCTCATCTGTGACGTGGGGTTGGGCTGTTGAAAGACCAATTATGCCATAACACAGGAGCAAGGCTGTAGTGGGCCTTGCTGACACTGTTGACCCCACACAGGGCTCAGGGAGGCCCCGGGCCTGAGTGTCATTTGAGCCTAGCGTGAGGGAGAGGCCAGGTCCTGTCAGTGGAGGAGATGGAAAAGCATACAGCAGAATGTGTGAAATGTCAGGACAGGAAGTCTGCTTAGGGCCAGCCAGCCCCAGGGGGTGGGGTGCAAGAGGCCGGGGCGGCGGTGCCCTCCAAGGGCCCTTGACTCGAGGCTGGCTGCTGGCTCATCCTGCCTGCGTTCTTGCCTCCTTCTCTGATTAAAGCAAAGGCAGTTCACTCACAAAGGCTCCCCTGCCATAGCCCCAGCTCTAGAATAAGAATAAAGCCATGCCTGGAGCAGCTGAAATCCCGGGTGCAGAGAGGAACTTGTTACAGACGGTTTCTTGAGGAATGTGACCCCATGGGTGGCACTTGTAACTAGGGAAAGCCTGGTGTCCAGGAGTGTGTGTGTGTGTGTGGGGGGGTGCTAGCTTCCTTTCAGGCCCAGGTCAGCCAGGACATCAGTCCAGCCCCACTCTACCTGGACCTGCCTGGGGGCCACTCTCGAAGCCTGCTGCTTCCTCTCTGACTATGCAGGCTCTGCTGAAAACATGCTGGAGGTAAATCATCCCAGGCAGGGTGGCCAGGTTGGAAGATGCCAGGACTGCTCTGGGCAGGGCGGGGACCTGGAGAAGAAACATTCATCGATACCTGATACCCCCGTGGGCACTTGCAGCCAATTAGTAGGGGGAGGAGGAAGGGGAGGAGGAGGAAGGGGAGGAGGAGGCTGTTGCAAGGGCCCTGATTTTGAAATTTGGCCTCAACCACCACTGTAGTGAACTTGATTCACCCCACCACCTTCTCCCAGGACCTCCCTCTGCCCAGGTGACACTTGGTCCCTCTGTACCCTGTGGGGACTGGCCCTCTTCTGAACCTATCTGGGCCTTAGCACTTTATCTGAGAGGTGGAGTACTAAATCTCTCCTCATAGGGGTGTTTTTATGAACTGCCATTCATAAGTAGAACTCCTAGTCACTCAGAATGTGACTTATTTAGAGACAGAGTCTTTACGGAGGTGGTCAAGTTAAGCAAGTTCATAGAGGAGCCCCAGTTCCAGATGACAGGTATCCTCAAGAAAAGGAGAACTCTGGGACAGGCACGTACACTTGACCATGAAGACACATCTACAAGCTGAAGGGACTGTAAGGAACAGGTCCACCCCTTGATCTCAGACTTCCGGTCTCCAGAGCTGCGAGACAGGAGGTGTCTGATGTTTAAACTACCCAGTCTGTGGCTCCTTGTTAGGGCAGCTTGAGCTGAGGAACGCAGAGGGTATTAAGAGCGACATCTATGTAGCCCCGAGAAATAAAAGTGGTGACAAGCACTTTGTTAGGCAGGCCAGGGACAGGCATGGATGCCCAGGTGGGCACTCATGGAGCCTAATAGTTATGAAAATACCCCATGTCTAGGGCACTTTGGTGACTTCTTTAACCCTCGTGTGCTTCAGTTTCCCCCCAGCCCATGACTCCTACCCAGCAAGCTCTGAGGTTTACCAGAAGCCAGAGCTGGCAAGCTTTGTGGTTTTATGGAAAGGGCCAGAAAGTGAGTACTTTCCTCTTTGCTGGTACGGCAGACTGCCTCCAGCCCTCCTCTCTTCAGCTAGATACAGCCTCAGAGTACATGGCAGTGAGCTGGTGTGGCCCCGTTCTAACAAAACTTCATCCATGGACCCCAAAATTGAATTCCACATCATTTTCGCATGCCACAAAATTTTCTCCTTTCATTTTTTTTGAATAGTTTCAAAATAAAAAGACTTGCTGGACTCTCGGGCTTACACAAGTAGGGGGCTGGTCAGGGTGGCCCACAGGCTGCCATTTGTAAGCGTCTCCTGGTGAAGGGGCCTCTTGGCACCCAGAGGCACTGGCAGGATCTGCTCCTGCACCTCTTGGCCATCCTCAGGAAACTGTGTGTGTGTGTGTGTGTGTGTGTGTGTGTGTGCGCGCACATATAGTACTGAGGACTGAATCCAGCTCCTTTGCATTGAGCTACATCCTCTTTTTAACATTTTTTATTTTGAAACAGGGATTTGGTAAGCCACTAAATTGCCCAGGCTAGGCTTGAACTTGCAATCCTCTTGCTTCAGCCTCCCAAAAAGGCTGGGATTATAGGTGTGTGCCACCATACCTAGCTTCAGGAAACATTTAAAAAACCTCTGCTCAGGCGGGTGGCTGACTTGGTGGCCTTCCACACATTTGTCGCTGTACACACAGGCTCCCCAGCGCCTACAGTGTGTGAGGCTGGGTGAGCATTTCGGATGGC